CTGGTTTACTGTGCAAAGCTAGGTTCACACCAGGGCGACTCTTGACCATGCGGCAACCGTGCACAAAACAGTGCGGATTGCCGGGCAGTCACAAAGTCGCCCACCACGACCGATCGCGCTGGAGTTGCCATTATTTTCTAATGGCACCCCAGCTGCGCCGGGCAGATCGCGCGGTTTCCCTCCACGATTCCGCCTGTGGAATTGAACACGATCGCGGCTAAAAAAAAAGCCCTGCGTCGTGTGTTGCAAAAAAATGTACTTGTACCTTTTTTTAGCGATTGCCGCACAGATGTAACCCCATTGAAATCAATGGGGCTGCGTGGCAACCGCTGTGTGCCCTAGCACACGATCGCACCGTTCCGGGTATCGCTCAGGTCTGAATATAGCCTTAACAAGCATTGGGGAATGGGATGCCCCCCAAAATGCATGTGCAAGGCATGTTACCAATATGCGTTAACATGCAGTAATGTACACGCAGGTGTAAATCTAACCCAAGCATGGTGCACAACATTGGCGCATGTGTGGGCAATCTATGTACACCACTGACACCTGTTTACATTGAGTAGTAGATAATTAGAGTATTGATAATAATTCGTATTGATGATATTGGTAGAATTATTATGAGAGTTAGTAGTAGATGATGTTGACATTGATCAGTTGTAACACCATGTCAGGCACACACGTAGGGAGGATTGTATTCATGGTTACACAGACCTCCACATATACACACCCCTCCCTTCTAGACATCCATTCCCATCCCCCATCACTACAACAAGCCATAATGTGTGTATGGGGGTTTTCCTGTTCTGCAAGTCTCAGAGTTTAAAGGGCACAGCTGGGGGATGTCCTAGACTAGAGAAGCCATCAGAACACATAAGATGTAGACAGGCAACAGCTATGCACATTCTAATTATGAGAGCTACATGCTATGGGCACAGGCTGCAAGTATACATAGACGGGTTATTATGGTTACAGGCTGCCAGCTCCTAGCTATGGAAGCTACACATTGTGGCCACAGCCTGACAGCATGAATGTCCTACTTATGGGTGCAGGCTGCCAGTAACTTAATACATGGAAGTTACATGCTATAGACACAGGCTGCCAGTATGAATACCTTAGTTATGGGCACAGGTTGCCAGTATGAATACCCTAGCTGTAGGCACAGTCTGCCAGTATGAATACCCTAACTATAGACACAGGCTGCCAGTATGAATACCTTAGTTATGGGCACAGGTTGCCAGTATGAATACCCTAGCTGTAGGCACAGGCTGCCAGTATGAATACCCTAACTATAGGCACAGGCTGCTAGTATGAATACCCTAACTCCCTAACTATAGGCACAGGCTGCTAGTATGAATACCCTAACTATAGACACAGGCTCCCAGTATGAATACCCTAACTCCCTAACTACAGGCACAGGCTGCCAGTATGAATACCCTAACTACAGGCACAGGCTGCCAGTATGAATACACTAGCTGTAGGCACAGGCTGCTAGTATGAATACCCTAGCTGTAGGCACAGGCTGCCAGTATGAATGCCCTAGCTGTAGGCACAGGCTGCCAGTATGAATACACTAACTGTAGGCACAGGCTGCCAGTATGAATACCCTAACTACAGGCACAGACTGCTAGTATGAATACCCTAGCTGTAGGCACAGGCTGTCAGTATGAATATCCTGGCTATAGGTATAGGCTGCCAGCATGAATACCCTAGTTATGGGCACAGGCTGCCAGCATGAATACCCTAGCTATAGGAGCTATAGGCACAGGCTGCCAGCATGAATACCATAGTTATGGGCACAGGCTGCCAGCATGAATACTCTAGTTATGGGCACAGGCTGCCAGCATAAATACTCTAGTTATAGGCACAGGCTGCCAGCATGAATACCATAGTTATGAGCACAGGCTGCCAGCATGAATACCATAGTTATGAGCACAGGCTGCCAGCATGAATACCATAGTTATGAGCACAGGCTGCCAGCATAAATACCCTAGCTATAGACACCGGCTGCCAGCATGAATACCATAGCTATAGGCACAGGCTGCCAGTATGAATACCCTAGCTGTAGGCACAGGCTGCCAGCATGAATACCATAGTTATGAGCACAGGCTGCCAGCATGAATACCCTAGTTATAGGAGTTACATGCTATGGGCACAGGCTGTAAGCATTCACACCCTGCCTATGGGAGGGTCTTTTCTTTTTTCCTGAGCTGTCCATTTTTATAGACAACAAGCTTGAAGAGTGATAAAGGAAGCAGTAAAACTTGGTGTGGATAAGAGAAGGGTGGTGGGGTGGGGACAGGCCAGTGAATGGTCTGCAGTGATGATCAGTAGCTATGGTCTAGTGAACGGCAATAAGAATGTATACAGAGCCAAAGGGTTCTTACACTATAGCGGGGGCTATGAGGATTCCTTATCATCATGATACAATCCGTGTGTCTCCTTCACAACTGTAACACATATTCACCCACAACCCGCATATTACAATCTAATTCTTCAATACCGTATATTCAATTCAATCATATAAGAATAGAACAGCAGATAGAATGACATCTGGATTGTTTTTCAGACATTTTTGAAGTAAATAAAAAAAGAGGAAATGTCCAATTGTTTTCGGTGAGGGTTTAGCATGTGTGGCTCCCCCAATGTATTCTATTCCAATCCTTTCATTTGTCTTTTCCAGCTGAATCTAAAACTGATCGCCAACTGAAAAAAAAAGAGCCCCGGGCCAGAGCGAACAAATCACAATCCAAAACTAGAAGCTTGCATGGCTGGCATAATTTATACCCAACGGAGCTCCCAGCTCAAATCAGCTAAATATATTCCGGCTGCATCAAAACAAAGTCTTACAGTTTGTTTTTTAGAAAGCAGCCACAGTCTGAGTAGAAAAGCCTGTCCTCTGCCAGCATGCTGCAGAGGAGCCTTGCCTGTGAGGAAGCAGTGGTCTCTCTGCAGAAGTCAGAAACACCTCCTGCTGAGTCACATTTACCCCTGCCAGCATGCTGTGTGGAAGCAGTGGTCTCTTTGCAGGGATCAGATGTGCTGAGTTAGAGCTCACTGCTGACTGGAGAGCTCTAACTTAGCACATCTGATCCCTGCAGAGAGACTACTGCTTCCACACAGAGAGCAATGGTCCTTCTTCTCGACAGCATGCTGGCAGGGGACAGGCTTCTATACTCAGGATGTGGCTGCTTACTAAGGCTGTGTTCACATGGACTGCTGAGGAAGGGAAAAACAGGCGGCTGATATATATGTTTTTACTAATCCCCCGACCACCCACCTAAAACTTCATATACTGACTGCTCATGCTTGTACACATGCCACAGCAAATCTTAAACAGCATGTCGTGTTTGGCAGGTGGTGCAGCTTAACAAAATCACCCATTGCAATCAGTGGGAACGCAGTTGTGGCACAGTATTGCAATACGACATCCCCATTTGAATTTGGAATAAAAAATGTCTTTCAGGTGGTGATGGCAGCGGTTAAGGGGTTAACACTATTAGGTGTCACTTTAGGCCAGGGACACATGGGGGGGGGTCTACAGTAACCAATCACACGTCTCCCTTTTACAAGATTTTCTTTTCTCTGCTGCCGTACACACAACAATTTCCAGGCAAGAATGCAGAAATAAGTGAGCGAAGGAAGGTAACCGCCATCGTTGCTTTCATCTTTTGTCATTGGATGCTGAATAAACCGGGTGTATAGTGCCCAAATATTGCTGCGTGTGTGGCGAGCATTAGGCTGGAGCATTGTTTGTGGCTGTGGAAGAGTTAAAACGTCTAAGAGGAGAAAATGATAGGATAACCTGCCACTGCGTCGCTTGGCCAGAGCTGCCATTTGTGGCTGTGCAAGGGTTAACAGCATTAGGTTACAGGGTAGTTCTTAGGGAAGCTCTCTACTGTTATATTATTCATCGTCTGTCTGTGCCGTGATCAATACTACTATTAGGTTACAGTATATCAGCTGTGGAAGGGTTAATGACATCAAGTGGCAAACCCCGTGGCTCTTACAAGGTGAACAGTTACAGCATTTGTTATGGAAGGTCACTAATGTTATTTATTGTCTATGGCTGTAGATGAATCAATAATGTTAGGTTACAACACATCAGCTGTGGAAGGGTTAATAGGAAAGGAGTGTCAGTGGTGTGGCTCTGGAGGGGTTAACAAGGGGGGCCCTTGCTATGGAAAGTCACTACTGTCATATAATTTTTTAATGGCTGTGGACAGATCAATTCCACTAAGGTTACAGAGCATCAACTATGGAAGGGTTAATAGCTTGTAGTGTCAGTGCTGTGGCTCTGGAGGGGTTAACAGTATGCGATTTGTTATGGAAGGTCACTAATGTTATATAATTTCTATGTCATAAATGATATTATTGCTGACATTAGGTTACAGCACATCATCTATGGAAGGGTTAATAGCCTGACCTGGCAGTGTTGTGGCTGTAGAGGGGTTAACAGTATGGCCCTTGTTATGGAAGGTCACTACTGTCATAAAGTTCGTGGCTGTGGAAGGGTTAATACAACTATTATACAGTGTAATTACAGTGTTGGGTGGCAGGATGTCATTTGTGGACATGAAAGGGTTAATACTATCAGGTGTGAGTGTGTTAGCTGTGGAGGGGTTAATATGAGATGTCCGAGACTGGAGGTCTGAACATACAATGTACAAGTGATGGAAGGGGCTGAACTGTAACACCTGTGAAAGGGTTAATGATACAGTGTCCATTAATGGCTTGTACGGGGTTAATAACAACATACGGTAGGAATGCAGTGTGTCGGCAGCGGAAGGGTTAATGATTTAAAGTGACAGTATCTCTCGGTCTGCGGCTTGTACAATGTTAATTATACAGAGTGGCAGCTGTGTAGGGGTTAATGATACAAAGTGTGTCTCCCGGCGTGTACAGGGTTAATAGCGCTCTGAGGACGGCGGTGGAATAACCGATCTGTGGTGACAGGTCCTCCTCCTGTACCGATCGGTGTGCGAACTGTGATCACTGACCTGCCGGTGATCGGTGCTCTCTCCCCCGGCTCGTCCTTGTTTGTGCTGTCCTTTGACAGCGCCGGATGTGACGCCATGCAATCTCTGTGTGTGCTGTAATTGATTGGGGTGTCACTGTAAGTGTGGAGACACTGTAGAGAATAGTGGAATTTCTGCGTGCGCTGTTATAGAGTGGGGTGTCACTGTAAGTGTGGGGTCAATGTAGAGCAGTGGTCTCAATGTACTCAGCCTTTTGGCTAAGAACAAGTGTAGTATCTGTCCTTATCAGTTTTTGGTGGGGAAAAGAACCGTCCTTGCGGGGGATGGTTATTTAGTACTCGCTGGAGGGAGAGCGTGTGGGGCTGCTTCCTGTGAGAGTGGAACAGCCCAGTACATGGCTTTCTGACTGAACAGATGCGAAGCTTGGTCTGGCTGGAGGGTTGGGGGGCCGCAGAAGCCCGTGGTGTTGTGCCCCCTGGGGTTGGCGTCCTAGGGGTGCATCAGAAAATCACTAGGGTGTGGGACCCCACAAGTGATTCACTGTGCACTAGGACACGACACCATATTGCTCTTTTCTGCACTTCGCCCCCATGACAGGCCTTATGGCTAGTCTGGGGCAATATTTTTGCACTCTGGCCCCACAGATTGCGGAGGGTGTAGGTTCCTTCGGGCCTTTTCCCGATGTGGGGGGGAGATTCTGTGCCCTTATATAGGGTTCTCTGTCTCCCCCCAACCTGGGGGGTCTCTCTTCGGTAGAGCCCGCCTCCTAGTACTGTGAGGGACCTATTTCGGTCTCCTCAGGACTGCATGTGGGTCTCACCAGGGCTGCGTTTGGATCTCACCAGGGCTGCGTTTGGGTCTCACCAGGGCTGCGTTCGCTTCTCTCCAGAGCTGCGTTTGGATCTCTCCGGGGCTGCATGCAAGTCTCACCAGGGCTGTACTGGTGGGTGCCGGGCTCTCCTAGTGGGAGCCAGGCTCCCCATGGCTGAATGGGTGGGAGCTGGGCTGTGTGGGGCTATCCAGGCCTGTGCCAGATTGGGGAAGGAGGAGATGTGAAACCAGACTGGTACTGTAGAAGACAGCTACCACAAGGTCTCCAGCAAGCACAGGACTTCAGGCAGCCAAAGTCATTTAAAAATGTAAAGCGCCGGCATCAGGCACCATGTATCGGGGTATTTTCATGTGTACTTGTGAAATTGCCCTGTATCAGCATGATACCAGTATCAGTGCATCCCTAAATGACACCCCAGTGCACTGAGGCAACACACCTCCGATTTCCAGGAAAACAGACACACCCCATTCTTGGCAACGCAGCGTATCAAAAAAACTCCTATTAACACAACGCAAAAGGATGCCAAGGTGTAATTGGGCCCTAAAATCTTATTTGAGCTTTAGGGCCGATTCACACCATATGCGTTGGGGCTGTGCACCCGTAGAACTGAATGAAATGCCACCTGTGACATTTCAATAAAGTTTTACCAAAAAAGTACACAGTGTGATGTGTCGGGATCAGTGCATCACCACTGTGTCAGGCAATGCACACCAGCCACTGTGTGTTTAGTGCAGCAGCTGGTGTGAATTGGCCCTGAGGGTCCATGAGCACCTTCTTGTCCTGTGACGTGTGTTCCATTGAGGTTGCCCGTTCAAGTGAGTGAACTGGCAACCCACCAAAGTGTCCTAGAAAATGGACATGCACAGTTATTGGTAATGCAGCGCACTAAAATGCACATTATTGTGCGTTATGGTGTGTTGGCGTGCCATTTAAAGTGAACGGCATCATAGTGCACTAACTCACATAATGTGTGGCGTGATAATGTGGCTCAGTGGTTAGCACTCCTGCCTTGCAGCACTGAAGTCCCCGGTTCAAATCCCAGCCAAGACACTATCTGCATGGAGTGTGCTTATATTCCCTGTGCTTGTTTGGGATTCCTTCAACACTCTGAAGACTTGCTGGTGGTTTATTAGCTTCTGCCTAATACCTGGCCCTAGTATGATATTGTACTGAGTGTACCCAAGATGGCTGCCTCGCCTCCTATCTGCCCCGACATCAATTAGATACTTTGAGCCCCTGAGGAGAAAAAGTGCTATATAAATATAAAAAAGAAACGTGTGTTATCGCACCATATTGGAAAGGTATGAATGGGCCCTTAGAATTGGAGTATTGTTGCAAGAATGGTTTTATTCTTTGTACATTAAAAGAATGTCTGGTGATCCCGCCATTAGGGTCCTTAGTCAGGAACTTCCTGTTATAGTGTGACAACTGTCTTCCAATTGTGCTTTTGCATTGTCATCCTATCACCTGAGTCTGAAGATTACAAGTGGCTACATATTGCTCAGGCATGGTCCACTGTTGTCCTGAGCGATCATGTGCAGCTGACACTGAAGAGTGTGAGTATAGACAGGAAGAGCCTTAAAGGGGCCGGAGGAGATCAGCAGCACTGATATACAAAGGAGGATAAATAAAGTTAATACAATATGTTATGAAAGACTGTTCTGTGTCTCTATAGCATTGTATTATGATCGAATGGTCAGGTTTTGTTGTAAGGGGGAGTTTTCATTTTGCTGAAATTATTATTATTATTTTTCGGACGCCCCTTTAGGCCCCGTTCACATGTAGCGACTTATCGCGCGATTTCCGCCGCAATAGCTCGCATTTTTGCCGCGCGATATCGCGAGAAGTCGCCGGCTAATGATAGTCAATGGAGCTGTCTTAGCTCCATGTCGCTCGTCGCGGTTGCTTCTACAGGACCCTTTTTTCGGCGGATTTTGCGCGATTTTGCTTTTTTTCTATGGAGCCCGACGGAGAAGGTCGCGCTACCGTCGCTGGAACGTCGCCCCGAAAGTCGCGCTATCCCGGCCGCTGCAAAGGTAAGTCGCTACTTGTGAATGGGGCCTTAAACTCTCCTGATTTTGTTATTGTGCCAAAAAAGGCCTTTGTCAGTCTAGTTTTTTTTATTTTTTTTCACCAAAAGAAAAAAAATGGATATACAGTACAGCAATAACAAAAACACAATATAAGGGGAGAAAAAACCCAAAAAACAAAGACAAAAGAGACTAAACTACTGAGTACCCCCCCCCCCCCAAAAGAAAGAGAAACACAGAATATATGTCTTCCTTATATTGTAAAGCGCTGCGCAAACTGTTGGCGCTATATAAATACTAGTATGTAATAATAATAATAATAATATATAAATAAGCAAAATACACAAAGGGCCCATGACTGTATTGCAGTGCCGTTCATTTTAAATGGCACCCCAATGCACTGAGGTGTCAGTTGCAGCACGTCACAGTAGTGCATTGCATTACAAAAAAAAGTGTCACATGATTTTCAGCACATTAGGTTGCGTTGGAAGCTTATTCAATTCAATAGACTGCCTTAAAGCATGTTAGTGCGCACAGTGAGCTATGTTAATGCACAGCAAAAAACGGGAACACAAAAAGCAATACATGAAAAAAACTGCCCCGAATATTCCCCCAACTGCTAAATAGATTTAGCCTAAAAATTTCACCCCTCCAGAAATTGCTAATTTCACAGCAAAACCAATTTAACGAAAATCGTTATCCTCATCTCCATTCTATATATAGGATATGTATATATACCATTCTATAAGGAGCTGTACTGTGTGCATTCTTTTATCACTTCACACACTGAGTCAGCATGCGTCCGAGGTGGTTATCTGCACATGACTGACCAATCACCTGTAAGTCATCAAAGGCAGTTCTCACTATCAGGTTCCCATGCGTGCCACGGGGGGTCTTATTTTGGAAAAGTGTTGCATATAAAAATAATCCGGCGTCTAATGTACTAATCCCTGTTTAGGATGGGTCACACAAGGTGATCCGTCATCTGCCAAGATAAATAGATTATCTGGCCTGGGGTTTAGTAGTCACCTCTTCCGCGTGTCATATTTTTATTCTCTTGCATTAAAAAAATGACTCCAGACAAATCTGTTACAAGGTGCCCATGCACTGCTCGATTCTCGTACGAGAATCGCAGGAAATCCTGTGATCGTACGAGAACGTTTCTACTCTACGTGCGCACGTCTTTTGTCTAAGGAGCACGCTAGAAAACCAGCCCAGAATCGTACGATTTTCGGCTGGTTTGAACGGTGCTCGGGAGACAAATGCCGAACGGGCCGGTGTGCGCACGCGCACACTGCCCGTTCAGCATTGCGGTCATCGGAAGCCCGCCCCTCAGGGGGGCGGGCTTGCGATGATCGAGAGTACGATCTGCCTGTCCAAGATGGCCAGATCGAACGTTTTTTTAATCACTTTACAACCATCGCAGGACTAAGGTCTTGCGATGGTTGTACAGTGTATGGGCACCTTTAGCCGTAGCTTTGGGATATGTCTTCAGGCCATCCAGGGGGGTCTGTGAAATCTGCCATTATGCAGAGTAGCCAGACACCACCTGAACGGTGAAACCAGGCTTGTAGTGGGACTACCTGCTACGTAAACTGATGAGTCATGGCGGGCACATAGTGGGTTATACAAGAAGAAGTCAACTCTAAAGGAGAACTATGGGGTTAGGGCTTTTCGGGAGGACACAAACTAGCGTCCTCCCATCACCCTAAGCCCAGTATACCGCGAGCTACAGCTCGCGGTATACTGAGACGACGCAGCTGAAGCGGATCCCGACAATTATGTCTGGATCCGCCCAGCTGCGTGAGTGACAGCTGGCTCTGCCTATCTAGAGGCAGAGCCAGCTGTACCCACCCCCTACCCTGTCCGTTCCGCCAGTCAGCGCTGGAGGATCGGAGCGGGGAGGGGGGAATCCAGTCCCTCCTCTGTCACGGCTCTCTGCCATGGCAGGATCGAGAAGTGAGCGAATGACGGTATGTGTTCGCTCACTTCTCGATCTAGTGAGCCGACCTGTGACAGTTTAATTGTCACCGGTCGGCTAGAACTATGGGGGTGTAAAGCACTCCCCTCATAGTTCTCCTTTTAAGTGTATTTCCTCTTTTGTAGTTAAATTTGAGAACCCCCCACTATATGAGTGGCGGTATGGTCCCTTTAAAACAACCTGTGCCTAATTCATAAAAGCCTTGCCACAGTTTCAGTTGCAG